TTGTGATAGTTTCTTTTTATAACATTGGCAAGAAGTTCAAATTTTGCGTGCATCGCACAGGAGTAATCAGGCAACACTGTATTGGGATAATGCTTTGGGTAACCTGGCTGATTGTAAATGTTGGATATTTTGTCTCTTATCTGAAATGACCATAAATCTGTTCGATTGATCAGAAATAATTTTGTGTGTTTTTCTGGGAACTTTTCACGTAGACTAACGAATAATTCGTAAGTGTTGTTATCGTCTGTGTAAATGACCATTTTGTTTCTGATTCGTCCAAATACCTTCATCCATCTCATATATCTTTGAGGTGTGTATATATTGTTTTTGTTTCCTTTCATGAAAGAGCCAATATTAAAATAAGCAGTGAGGACTGTAATCTCATTGGACAGAATTTCGGTTGAGTTTTCCTTCGGATTATGTTTCCAGGTAGTTTTCCATTTCGACTTGAGTCGAATCGGTGCAATCTGTGAAAAGAGAAAAAAAAAAGTGAAATAAGAAAGAAATTCTGTGAGGTAAATTTTTTCTTTCAATTTAAAATATTAAGTAGAAATGCCTTTTAATAATTGTTATGATGTTGATTTGGGGTTAGTAGAGACAAACGCCAAATAACACGTAACAATAAAAAGGGTTTTAATAGGTTGGTAAAAAGGTACAGAAATTGCCTGAGTCGTCAATCACTAGCTCAGCTAAGAACTGCTCTGTCTCTGTCTTTTGACATGCCACTATTTAACGTCTTTGCTCGCAGACAAGTTCATCTTCAAGAGGGGTGGTAGGTTTCCGACACAACAATAATTATAATTACAATAGACTCCTTATCCGAGGATATATATTTCAAGACCCCTCCCCAACGGATGCCTGAAGCCAGGAATAGTACCGAACCACCTGTAAAGTAACCTCCCTTTTTTTTTTCGCGGTTAATGTGCTGTTTTAGACGCTCTTCAGTGGATGTTTGAAACCGTGGATAGTACCAAACGCAATATAAACTTAGTTCTATATTCTAATATTACAATTACTGTTTACTTAAAGGAATGTCTTTAGACTTCTCTTTGGCATTTTCAAATTGTCAGTATGACGACTCTTGCATCATTATTAAGTAAAACTTATAAATTATTTCTGGTATTTGAACGCGGGTAACTGAAATCGTAGAAAACGAAAGTACGGATTTTATATGGCTTTTTAACAAATATATTATTTAATTGTTAAGTTAAATTTCAGACATTTATGAAGAAAATAAATACTTTGTAGTGTTGTCAACAAATATATTACTAAATAACCGCCAATCATTATTACTAGACTATATAATAGTCTGGAACCAAAATAATTAATAATAAAAAATTAAAAGTTAAGCTATAAAAATACTTTAAAATACAGATAAGAATGGTAATTAACAAAAAAAAAAAATTATTTATAAAAAATATTTAAATAAATATAGAATACTCCCATGATGCACCAGAACAAGCGTTTTGATTGAAAAAAAAATCAACCCTTTTTCTCTCTTCGATTTCGACGGCTGAAGGTGGCAGACGTCCTGAAAAATTCTGACAAAACATCACCACATACAGATGAACAAAACTTTATTTCTGTATACATATATGTTTAAAATATGCAATCATTTTTCTGGAATGTAAAACATTTGATCGGTTTTGTCCATACTTATTTTATTGTATGTTATATGATTATTATTTGTGATATTATAATTCCATTGTGGGATGATAGTGCTCCCTTTTTAATCCCACCAAAAATGCATATAAAAAATTACATTCAGCTAAGGTCAACACATTACAGCTTTATCTCAGAATATCAAAATAACTTACAGTATTTGATGTCATATAAGATCCCCCACCTTTTATTTAATATTACAGCATCATATAGAATTAAACTAGGTACAAGTCTATGGCTACATTCTTCTTCTAGGTGCTGTTTCTCAGTAAAGGATTTTAATTTGGTAAAAAAAAAAATAAAACTACGAAAAAATAGTTCCAACAAACGTTTGAGGTAGCATTTATAAGGGCACAAAACAAAGACAGATAACACGAGCCAAGTTTAAAAAAAACAGTCTATAAATTCATTAACACACAAAAATGAAAGAATTACTCAAATTTGTGTGCCAAACGATGGCCAATAACATGTATATAAAAATAATCAATGCAAATGAAATATGCCTCTTTTAAAATAAAATTTACAATTCTGCATAAGGTCTCCAGAAACAAGTAAACAATATAAAAATAAATGAAGGAAGGGGAAAATACTTCTCTGGATAGTTTTCAAAGAATAGGTACAATTTTCGAAGCAAATTTCGTGGTAGCAGCGAAGAACAGAAGAATTACACCAGCCGGAGAACTTTCCTTGATGTGGGAGCGACTTTGAAGTACAGTGTAACCCGGATATAAGAGAAACCCGGATATAAGAGAGATTTTCTCTGGTCCCAAATTAGAGCCTGTGTTAATGTATATAAAATAGACCAAACCCGGATATAAGAGACTTCTTCTCCGGTCCCGACAACTCTTTTATATCCGGGTTACACTGTACCTTTCATTTTTCTTCTAGTGACTATCAAATTTCTTCTGTGTTGTTTTTCTTCCTTGGCCGGACTGACCTGGGTTCATGCTGCAGCTGCTTGTCGACTCCTCCATTTCAATTTTTGTTTCTCCTTTTATTTGCCCAGATAGACTTCAGATTTCACTTCTCAGAATTTGGAGGGAAACCTTTTGGTTGCTTCCGAATGAAAAACAAACGCAGCTATTTTCCCACAAATCGAAATGTACCAAAAATATTTTTGAAATCCAAAAGTTTAAGCAAGAGCCCAACACAGCGTCTGTTTTTCTCTCAGAAAAGCAGACGATATACGCTCAAGCAGCTTACATTTTTTATACCATCCGCGTCCTGGGTAAGACGATAAACTACGTCTAACAGCAAGGCTTCTGATCAGGAGATTTTGAGGAGCGTGGAACCACCTCTTAATTGCTGGTGTTCCTAGGTCCACCCTGAGCCGGGGTGGTAGCACCTGTTAGAGTCCCAGCTATGGGCAAATAGTTAACCCTCAAACTGGGGCCAGAACATTATGAAAGTGTAAAAATAGGTTTTAATACCAGAAATACTATGTAAAAAAAAAAAAAGAAATTATTACCAGCAATGCATTTTTGAAAAAAAAAAAAGAAAAAAAAAGAAAAAAGAAGATATTATCAGCAATACATTTTCGACTGTTGATTTTCAAGACAGACAAATTTCGACTGTTGATTTTCAAGACTTGTCGGATTGGCGTAACATGATCTTTCATTCCAATTTCGAACGCATACCATACTACGGCCATTAAAAATACAGATGTGATTCCTTATTTATCATGGCAACTTTGGCAACCTAACTGGTTAAAACATCGTCCGTGAAAGATTAGCTTCTAAGGTACGTGTGATTTCAAGTATAAATTCCCGATCCTCTTCTCCGCTAACAAACATACTTCATAGTGCTAATTTCTGAAGATAGGGGGCTTTTATACTGCCTAACGTAAATTAATTGGTTAAAAAACAGTAAGTTAAGAGAGAGGGAGAGAGAGAGTCAGTGAGAGTGACGAAAAACAAGACGCGCACGCGCCTGTGTGTGCGTAAAAGAGAGAGAGAAAAACTAAATGTTGAGAGAGAGAGAGAGAGAGAGAGAGGAAAAGACAGGACGTGTGTGGGTGTATTTCATAGTACTAATTTCTGAAAGTAGGGGCTTTTCATGCTGCCTAGCGTAAATTAATTGGGTGAAAAACCGCAAGACGGAAAGAGAAAGAGAGAGAGAGAGATAGTGATAGAAATAGAGAAAACCGAAAGACGAGATGTGTGTATGTGTGAAAGAGAGAGTAAAAAAAAACAACTATGACGAGGCGTATATGAGAGAGAGAGAGAGAGAGAGAGAGAGAGAGAGAGAGAGAGAAGTTGAGGCCGTGTATCTGTTTGTATGTGAGTAAGAGATATGAAATGGACTGACTAAAGTGGGAGAGAAAAAAAGTGAAGGAGACGAAGAATGGGAGTAAAGGAAAAGCAAACAAAAGCACGAATAATGAAAAAGAGAGAAAAGGAGAGAGAGAGAGAGAGAAAGAGAGAGAGGGGGAGAGGGAGAGAGAGAACAAAAATGAGATAGAAGGAAATAAAATATGTAATTAAAAAATAAGTAAAAATTTGTGGTATAAATTTTAATAAAAATTTCGACCGAGTCCATCAGCAAATAGGCAATTTATTTTCTTGTACGGTTAACACTTACGTTGTTGTCTTGGATATCTGCAACCAAATAAGTATCTTGCCGTAGTTATTTCTATTGCTTTAAATAAAACAACAGATTGGACGTGCATGCGCGTCGGACTCAATACACAAGACGCAGACGTGTGCCGTGTGGTCGTAAAAGGGTGATGCGGAAGAAAGAATTGATAATTGGATTTAAATGCAATGAAGGGAACAGATAAACTGATTGTTAAAAACGGCGTCCTTAAGTCTCTGATTAAATTAGGTCGAGAGTCAGGGTGGGTTGGATTTGTGGGCCTCTGTTTGAGACAAATTGCCCATTGTGCAAGAGCCGGAAATATGGTTTATGTCTAATTAAAAAAAAGTATTATCCCCAGGTGATTATTCAAACATTAATTGCAAAATATAATGAATTAATGGATTGCGTTTAATTTTCTGCTTTCTCTGTCTGTTATATGCAACATAGAATTGGCGTGGTTGAAAAGAGCTCAAAATGGATTTGTAGGCATTTTTGAATGCTTACAAAGTTATAGGCACTTAAATGATGTATTTAACAAATGATAAATTCAAAATAAAAAGTCAGATGAAAATGTTTGTGTACTCACTTTTCCGTTGTTAGCTTTTAGATTTGTAGGTTTCATAAATTGTAAGTCAAAGAATGAGATATCTACAACGAAAGCAAAAAGAAACAAATTAGGTTGAGTCATAAATAATTTCTTTTTTTTTTTGAGACCCAATTGTCATGACACATGCACCATCCTAATTACAAATCATACAGGCTTGCGGCCACATCATGTTTAAACTCCGGTTCCCGTACGATCATCGAAGTTAAGCAACGCCTAGCCCGTTCAGTACCTAGATAAGTGGCCGCTTGGGAATACTAGGCGCTATAAGCTTGGCTGTGCGAGTGGTGTAATGCATAAAGGCTCGGAATTGTAAATCGAAGAACCGAGTTTCAATTCCAGTCGGGTACATTATATTCTTTTACGCGCAAATACCCTTCTTATCCACCAGCTGTGGGTTAATTATTAAGACTTGTATCAGTAAAATCATTATCTCCAAAAACAATTCTTACAATCTAAAAATTATTTTTTGGCTCTAAATAAGCTGCAGAGGGTTGATAAGCCGCAAAAAATCAATCAGTCTTTATTATCTGTAAATTGTTATGAATTGCTTGGAAAAAGTTGTAGAGTGGTTTCCCATTGCCTTCTTCACAGTTTTAAATTCGGAGTTATCGTTCTTCTAGAGTAATTACCACTTAAGGCTGGAGAGTCCAGTCTACCCTGTTATTTGAGCCATAGCTGAAGGTATGAATTCATGCTTTTTCAAAACGTCATTTTGCAAAAGAACGACTGGCAGGATGTAAATTTATGGTAAGTTACAGATAATAAAGAAACGGAATATGAAGAGGTATGATTACATACACCCTGAAGTGACATAGCGTTAAAAAAAAAAAAGTTTAACCATCCTGTCTGGACATAATATTATATTGAACTCGGAAGTACTGTGATTTTCCAAGCGTAGCTCAGATGTGGCACGAGGCCGAAAGCATGGGCTACCCAGTGAAGGATCGAACTCACTACTCAGTCGTAATTGTTCTAGTGAGACAAGCTTGATGACCATTACACCACCTCGAGGTGCTCAAGCTCGTAAGTGCTGTGATTACCACGACGAAAAGATTGTATCAGTATTCCTCTCCAGTAATAAGTTCCCTCTTTTAAAACGAAGGCTGAAAATTTGCTCTGTTGTTCCCAGCATTTTTAAAAAAAATCTATTTCAACGTTTCCTTGTTTCGTTTCGGCTCTTGAGTGTTTTGGTTTACTATACTTCGATGTGTCAACAAACTTATTGTCTTTTGTTTTCATGTTTCCATCTTCAAGTGTCCATGGCGTGCCAAGGCGTTGTTATTATATTATCACGTTCGTCCTCGAAATGAAAGACCACAATGTTCGAGTCCATCAATATTTAGACCTTCTTCTTCGGTGCTGTGATCTTTCAAGACGTAGGTGACCATGGCTCTCCACAATTTCCTGTCCTTTGTAGCTCTTAATAAATTTTGTCTTTTTATTATCTCTCCTAAACCATGTTTCGATATCCAGTTCCTCAAGCTCTCTACGTAGGTTATACGTTGTTTTCCTTTGGTTCTTTTGGTTTTAATCTGTTTTGTGAGTATTAAATTTTCCAAGCCCTCTTTCCTCATTATGTGCCCTAGAAATTTCAACTGTCTCGTTCTGATGTTAAGCATAAGAAGTGTACTTTTTGTTTCTATTTTCTCTAAAACTTAGTCGTTGCTCACATGTTCAGTCCATGGTATTCTCTGCATCCTTCTGTAGAACCACATTTCTGTTGTTTCAAGTCTCTTCTTCATCTGTAAGGAGATTGCCGAGCATTCACTACCATGTAGGAGGATTGATATTATATAACAGTTCAGTTGTTTTTCTTTGTTTTTAACGAAATATTTTAACCACTCCAATGTAATATGTTAGCGATTTCATATTTTATACTCGGGATTGCTCTCCACTCTTTTCCTGGCCTGAAAATCCAAATTGCTGTGTGCTGACCTATCGCCAGTCACATTGATCAGATGCGTGACACCGTTCATGAAAGTGAGAGAGTAAAGCATAGATGTAATAGGCAAGACAACTTCTCATAATTATGCTATCAACTCAAATAGCGGTAACAAAATGTCTACTGCATCCATTGTTAGCCTTGAAAGGTGTAAAGCAAGGAATAGAGAGGTATAATTTTTTTTTCAAACTTCATTATAAAATAAATGTGGGTGGTATTTCATTAAATATTTGGACAAATATTCGCATCTTGCAGTTTTGATTACTGTATTTCTGTCGGTGTGCTTTCTGTTTTTTCTCACCCCTCCTCGGTCTTTTGGACAGGAGTAGAGGTTTATCACTCGTTTTCTGATTAGGATTGCGTTAACTCTATACTTCTAACGTCTCTGCCTAAACTCTTAAATTTTATATACTATTTATTTTTCTTCCTCAATAAGAATAGATAGCTTCGTCTATCGTCCAGTTCACACTCCTTCTTGGTCTTTTGAAAAGAAGTAGAGGTTTGTTTATTGATTAGGATTGTATTTCATGTTCCTTCTAAAGTCTTTTTAATTCTCTTTCACTCCCAGTAGCCCTTTGCGTTTAAGTGGTGCCATCGCCTCATTTGGGAGAATTGACTGAAAAAAAAGGGAACGTTTCATCTGGTAATCTTTATACAGAATGTTCTATCCCATCACTATTTTTCGCTTTCACAAACTTTTGACAGCATCCCAGTTAGAGAAATTAAAACCTAATATATAATTCAAAGAGTGGTGAAACCAAAATGCATTTAACTTTTTTAAAGATATTTATTCATTTAATTTGGTAGCAAATCTGAAATGAAATGATAGCTATATGTTAAAATGCATATTACAAATTTTATATTTCAGAATTTGATTATTTGGAGAAATTTAAGCGTTTAAATTAATGATGATGATGCCTTAACATAATCAATTTATATTTAAATTGCATTATTAAATAAAATATTGGGTGGGCCAAAAAGTTCGTTGGCTTATGAAGTAGAAAATATATTTAACAAACCGAATTAACTTTTTCACCAACCCAATATATTCTAATTGTTATTGTTGGTGAAGAGTTACTCGATGTTTCTCCAACATTTAGCCTTCAATATGCCCTACCAATATCAATTTCCTCAAGCTCGCTTTCCTCATTATGAGTGACAGAAACGTTACTGTCTCTGTATCCTTCTAATTATTGGGTTGGCTAAAATGTTCGTTGGCTTATTAAGTAGAAAATTTACTTAATAAACCAAATGAAATTTTTCGCCAACCCAATATATTACTTGAGTTTTTAATTAAAAAGTAGAATATTAGAAATCATTAATCTTAATTATCGACATTTTTTATAGAAACATTAACGCCAACCTCAAAACTGTAGGAAAAAAAGACAAAACAAAAAAAACCAACAAAAAACGAATGTAACAGAAACTGTTTGAACCCTTTTATATTCAGAGTCTGTCTATATTTCTGAGATGAGGTACTATGTACATTATTTACATTATTCAGACTGTTGTCCTCATCTTTGTCGCCATATTTATCACGTTTCGGCCGTTGTACGCTCCGGCCGTTGTACGCTCCGGCCTTCCTCAAGGACACATGGCACAGTGGATAAAGGCGTTAGTTAGATCCAGTGACAGGACCTAAAGAGTGTGAGTTCAATACCCGGTTAAGGCAGTGGAGAACTTTCAGAGGGAAAATTAGCAGGAGATAACTGATAACTGACATCCATCAAACATGGCACATGGAACTAGAACAGTCTACCCCAGTGAGCGAAATAAAGGGTTCAGTTCGACATTCCAACCACCTGAAGAAGGCCTTTTATATTCCATATAAGATGATTTTCGTTATTTAGCTATTGAAGTTTTAGAAACTTCAGTGGGACAAGTTTATCAAAGAAAAACAGTCGGGTTTATTTCATTTCCTTACGCACAAATACCTTTGGTATGAAGTTATGAATCCAGTTATTCTTCCCAATCCAGTTATTCGCCCCAATCCAGTTATTCTCTCCAATTCAGTTATTCTCTCTAATCCAGTTATGGGTTAATTAGTAGAATTTGTATCTGGAAGAATCATTGTTATTCTCAAAAATTGTTAATGCAATATTCATCCACCAAAAATAACTATTCTTACAATCCAAAAGGTGTTTCAGCTTTAAATAATCCACAAAAGGGTTGATAAGCCGTAAATAACTTATGAAAGAATAAACATTTTACTGATGGGAAAGATTGAAGCGTGGTCCATTTGAAATGCAGTGATCAAATCACTAAAAACTAGGACAACAATTTGATTTTTTTCTTTTATATGCCGTGTCCCTTCAGGGTGTTGACGACCATGGCTTTCTACAACTTCCTATCCTTTGTATCTCTAAGCAATGTTTGTCTTTTTATTATTCCTCCACGTCTCTATTCTGTCATCCATTTAAACAATCACATTAAAGAGGTTACTCGACGCTTCCTTATGACCCTCTTGTTTTCAGTATATCCTGTGAGTGCCAAATTTCAGAACCTCTTCACTGATTACAGTTTATTCAGGCTTTATTTTTAGGGAACCACAACATTTGCCTTTGTATTCTTAGGCACAATTACATGGGATGTTATACATTTAATTCTCAGTTGCTTTTTTCTCTAAATTTTGCGTCAAATCTGTGAAAAAGGGAACATTTTTAAATACTAGTATTGAAAAATATATACTCACTTCATTCTCAGTAGAATTATTACAGGATTAGTAGATGGTAACGAGACATATATTTTAATTTTCTATATTGGCAGTTCTCACCTTGGGACTTAGGCAGACTGTAGATTTGTGGATCATAAGTTGTGGTGGTGTGAAGTTAAAGTGTTTTGGAAAATTGTTGGAAATGTTATTTATACCACAAGTAGGTAGAGAAAGTAATCAATCAATTCATTTTTTTATTTAGTAACATTTATTAAATGAAAAAAGTAGACTTATAGTTGATAAGAGTAAACGTCTGTCTGAATTTATGGGATGAGGAGTTATCATTAGCTACGGGACAATGGCCTAGTTGCTTAAAGCGATGGTTTGGGAATTTGATGACATAGTGATTGTGAGTTCAATCTCTGGTGTCCTTGCACTCAGTGGAAACGGGTGAACAATAACTGAACAGTGTTAAATGAAAATAAGAACTAGACAATATTCCTAGACATGAACAGTGGAACTAGAACAGTCTACCACCGTAGATTAAATAACGGGTCCAGTTCGGAATTCCTTGTAGGCTACCCAGATCGATATACTCCTGAGGAAGACCGGAGGGTACAACGGCCGAGATGTAGTGATAACAACAACCAAGATGAAGATAATAATCTGAA